ACAGATTAGTATAGCTTTGGTCCATTACAGCATTCAGTTGGGATGTTTTAGCTTTAGAAAGTTCACAAGAAAGTTACAAATCTACAAAACCACACATTAAACACTGTCTCTCTTTTTAAATTCTACTGATATTTATGTTACCTGGTTGCAAACAGAGGTTAACTGCGGATAGTAGGAAAGGAACCAGAACTGAGCTAAGGAGGTAAATCAGAGCGATTACAAAAGTTGTATTCATGCAGTAATCTGAGGAATACATACAATCTTGCCATTATTTCATTGAGAGAAATTCAATACTTCACTTTCTAGTGGCTGAAATTTTGCAACCAAGAATCCCACAACATAGAAGCTTCCTCCTCTAGACATCCTGACGTTGATATACAAAAATTATTAGTCTACTAGAATTAAATTTGAGTCCCCTGGTTAACATTAAGTATAACAGCAGCCAAAGAGGAGCATTTATCATCTGCATCAAGCTGATGACCAGGACACTCAGCTGTTTCAATCTTCCACAGGTGCGAAAAGAACAAGTACACAGGAAAAAAAGATACAGAAAATAAATTGTCCTAATTAAGATCTCAAAAATATGCTTGGATGCTTGTATACCCATTTGAATCTCTGCAGTATCATGTCTGATGATATAGCTTATAAGAAGTGCCAAAGAGCACCATTTAACTCCATTTTCCTTTAAAATGAAATGAATGGGGTGCATTTTCTTTTTCAAGTGAAGCTGATTTTTAAATACTCCAGCACAAAAAGATTAGTTACTTTCTAGAAAAAACAACACATGATAAAATGTCAGTCAGAACTATGCCTGCTTTTAAGCAAAACTAGTTAATTGTTAATTTTTTTTTTTTTCCCAAACATAAAATACAGTAATATTGGCATCTGCTATAATTTCTTTATATACCCAGAGATAGCAAGGAACACAGTCTGTGCATACTTCTTGATTATACAACATACCAAAGGACCCTAGCCACATTCAACGACTACATATGAATAAAGAAAGTATAGTAGCTGGTCAGACAGTTTATTTTTCTTTGGGTATGAGAACCCACTAACAAGAGAAATAAAAATAGTTACATAAATAGTATAGAAAAAAAGTATTTTTAATGTCAAAGATAGTAAAAGAGATATACTGTCTTGCCCACATATATATTAATATATAGGTAGATCTGTTGAGACAGATCTTGCTCGTAAGATCACTGTTAACGATGAGGTCTGTAATAGTTCGTTCCCACACAAACAAACATTTCATAATATGGCTGACTATAAGAAACAGGAAAAAAAAAAAGCCTGACTTTAGTTTATCTTATTTCTACTTCTGTTTGTAGAGAAGAGTTTGAAAACGTTCTATCTATACCCTGACCTGGGAAGTCATGAAGGAAAAAGTTTTCAAAAGTTTGAGATGTTCAGCAAAGTTTGTTTCTCTTCTCTCAATTTTAAGTATCTCAATTTCACTCTAATAGCTTAAAATCCCAGTGATGAGGAGAGCCGCTCCCAATAGCGACTTAAAATAACTAAGGTAGGATTTCTAGACTCACATGGTGTGCTGTTCATTTCAAAAATGACAAAACAGACAAGGCACAAATGTGACGCAACACTAAATTACATCAAATCTAATCTCTGACAATAACTCTCCATTAGGGGAGGAATAACTACTGTAAGATTCTGGATATACCACTGCATGAAGATATACTTATTGCTTTTTTTGTCTCAGACTTTACTACTAGGACCAATTATTCACCAGCTACCCAGACCACTGAGCTGGAAGACAGATGGGAACAGAATGAAACCCTTAAAATCCAGGGAGAAACAGTTAGTTACCTACTACTCCACTTGAATACACACAAACCCATGCATGACTGGGATCCACCCAAGGGTACTAATGGAGCTGGCAGAAGTGCTCACCAGACTACTTTCCTTATTTAGTGCTGGCCAAACAGGGAAGTCCCAGTGGACTTGGGCTTAGTGAACATGATGACTTTTTACTCTGAAGGAAGATCCAGGGATTATTGGCCTGTCAGACTTATTTCTGTACCAGGGAAAGTCATGGAATATCATCACATGGCACATACTGGACAACTGGCTGATCAAACTCAGTCAGCACAGATTAATGGAAGACAAGTCCTGCCTGACTAACCTGGTCTACCTCTGCGGTAAGATCACCTGCTTGCGTAGACAAAGAAAGAAGGCTGTGCATGTTGTCTACTTGGGCTTTCGCATATCATTTGCTAGTGTCTCCCACAGCATCCTCCTGGAGAAACCAGCAACTCACTGCTTGGACAGATCTGCTATGTGCTGGGCAAAAGACTTTCTGGATGGCCAGGCCCCAAAGGTTCTTGTGAATGGAGTTAAAAGTGGTTTGCAGATGGTTACAATCAGTGTTCCCTATGGCTCAGTAAGGCAGCCAGTCTCATTTAACATTTTTATCAACTGCCTGGATGAGGAGATTGGGTGTAACCACAATAAGTTCCCAGATGACATTATGCTGAGTGGGAGTGTTGATGTGCTTGAGGGTAGGAAGGCTGTGCAGAAGGATGTGGATAGGCTGGATCAATGGGCAACAGCCAGTTATATGGCATTCAACAAGCCTAAGTGCTGGGCTCACTGCTTGGGTCATAACGACCCCATGCACCTGTATGGGCTTGGGGAAAAGTAGTTGGCAGGAAAGGACCTAGGGGTGCAGGTCAACAGCCAGCTATACATGAGCCCATAATGCCAAGAAGGTGAACAGCATCCTGGCCTGCATGAGAAATAGCATAGGCAGCAGGATTTGGAAAGAGACTGTCCCTCTATACTCAAGCACTGGCGATGCTGCACATGAAGTACCATCTTCAATTTTGGGTCCCTTGCTGCAAGAAGGATGCTGAGTTGCTCCAGGACATGCAGAAGGAAAAAAAAAAAAAAAAATCCATTAAAGGACTGGAAATTTATGTGGAGTGATTGAGAGAACTGAAGTTGCCTGGCCTGGAAAAAAAGGAGAGACATCATCATTCTCTACAGCTACCTGAAAGGAGGTAGCAGCAAAAAAGACAGCCTCTATATTCAGCTGGCAAAACATAAGGAAATGGCTTCAAGTTACAGAAGGGAAAGTTTAGACTGGATATCAGGAAGAATTTGCTCTCAGGAGTGGTTAGGCATTGGAACAAACTGCTCAGGGAAGTGGAGTCACCATCTCCAAAGGTATTCAATAAACATGCAGGTGTTTCATCTGTCGACACAGTTCAGTGATAGGCAGGTAGAGAGGTGAATGGTTGAACTCTGTGATCTCTAAGAGACTGTTCTACAGTTTTATTCCACATCTAAGTCTCATTATGAAAAAAAAGAATCAACACTAGAAAGTAAGCAAATATGGATTTAATCTCAGTAGTGCCTCACTAACCTTAAAGCATATAGCTACTGGCTGAAGTGGGATTATCTGCAAGCGTAAGGGACTGCATTTGCCAGATGAGGATTTTCTAGTTTACTGTAACACCTCTCCTTTTATATACTCCAAACACAAAGGATGCTCCAAGAGTAATGCCTCCTATTTTATGATATTGGCTTATGATATTAGAAACAAATACTGGTGGTAAGGCAGTTTTCTATTACATACTATTGCTGTGCAACAGACAGCAGCAGAAGGGCAGTCTGATAAAATGGTGTCTGTCACTGAAGTGCATATAAAGCAAAGGTGGGTTACTGAATTTCTCCTTCTGGAAAAAAAAAAACACACTTGGTAACATTCATCAATGCTTGCTGAATGCTTCTGGAGACCAAAGAGTGGATGTCAGTATAGACATATGCTAGATGGTGCATAGCTGTCACACCCTGAAGTGCACCTCAAATTGGTGGATTACAGCCAGGAAACTACATATGGAGATGAATATTGACATCAACGTGTTGGAAACAGTTGTGGCAATATTGGAATATCACAAAGTTTGCATTAGGTGAGCACCATGAGTGCTCATATGGGACCACAAAGAACATCATGCGCAAGTTTATCAGGACAGTGGTGGCAGTTTCCTGGATCACATCACTAATGGTGATGAGACATTGTATCACCACAATAAGGTGCAGTCAAAATGGCAGTCCACAGAGTGGCAGTGCGTGAACTTCTCATCAAAGATTAAGACCTAGAAGGTAAAGTGATGTTTATTGTCTTTTGGGATAGGAAAGGAACAATCCTTCTCAATTTTATGCGACCCAGATAAACAATAAACTCTGCTACAACATGACACTGACTAAGCTGAACTTCCAAAGGCAGGACAAAGAAGACAACAATCTTTTTCTTGCCACACTGTAAAACCAGGCCCCATTCCAGACTAAAGACCATGAAGCATGCTGCCAACCTTGGCTAGACTGCCCTACCACAGTCCGGATTTCACACATTCTGACTTCCAACAATTGGACCAATAAAAAAGTGGCAGTGCATGGGCAACATTTTCCTAACAACAATGCCATCACAGTAGCTAAGTGGGTTAACTCCATTGGGGAACTTTTTTTAAAAAAAAAAAAAAAAAAAAAACAAACAAGCACAGCATGCAGGCTCTTGTTCATGACTGGCAAAATGAATAGCTAATAATGGCAACTATGCTGAAAAATACTGTTTCGTAGCTGAGAATGCACTGTATCAAATAATGCCATTGTGTCCTTCCGTACTGTTATAGTTACCATGAAAATAAACTGGAGGCATCATTTTTGAAGCAAAATATGTATATTATGTTCTTCCCTATATATACATCCTGTGTTACCAAAACTAGTTTAAATCTGCCTTATGAAAAGATCCTCTTTTTCTGTTGTAAACATGCTAAAAATTGAAGGTTGGAAAGAGAAAAGTATCTTCATTCATTTGCATAGCACAAAGAAAGCAACCAGAAAAACAGACCAGCATCAAATTCATTGAAATTCGCATGAAAAAAATATTACCAGCAATAAGACCAATATCACTATCAGTGAAATAAAAGTGTAGGAAAACACATATTAGGAACAATTTTCCTTCTATATTAAAGATGGTTTACCTTTGCAACTCCAGCCCTATGAGCACCTTGCGATTCCATGTATGCTAAGTATTTGTTGAACTCTCTGAATTCATCCATTGAAGGCCTAAAAGTCATGATTTTGCAACTTGGATTTGGAGGACTATCAGACGTGACCGTCGCCATTGTGGTTTGTTTTCAATCCAGCTGAAAAATAAAATAACATATACTGAAGAGAATAACCTTCTGTCAAACAGCACCTGAAATTCAACACATGTTTTGATCAGGAAAAAAGTTTTCAAAATTCCATAGTATTATAAAAGGCACAAATGAAATACTTTCTCTCCCCACTCCTTTAAGACCACTCAACCTTTACCCCAAAGACGTGTCTACCATAAGCAACAGTTCTATAAAAATCCAGTACAAAAATCCATACAATCCTCTCGCTGTGTTTTTCTGTTGTTGTTTTTTGGTTTTCGGTTTTTTTGTTGTTTTGTTTTGTTTTACAACACACTTTCTCAACTGTACCTTTAACACCATACTAGCAACTTTCAGTGTTGATGCATTCACAGCTTGCTCCATTTCTGTGTAGATATTTACATTACACAGGTATAACCTAAACTAACAAAGCTATGCATATTACTATTCCCACTTAGTTCATGAGGAAACTGATTACTGACTTTCTAATCACACTGCAAATGCAGGTAAAGAGTGCCTGGATTTTCTAACTCATATGTCAGCACTTCAATAGAATTGTATCAGTCTGCATTGCCAAGATGCAATAATATGACCATATACAAATTTATTCCTTAATCTTACAAAAAAAAAAAAAATCCTAATTTCAGAACAAAAGTAAATCAGCTCTGACTATCTTTTTCAGTGATTTGCTGTGTCATCCCTCACTTGAGGAAAGGGAAGATTTGGCATTGAGGGACAAGGTTTGAGGGATATGGTGGTGATGTGCTTGACTAGATGATCTTAGTGGTCTTTTCCAACCCTTAATTTTATGACTTCATCCATCTGCAAAACACAATACATCCATGGTTTTGTTACCAAACCATGTCACCTTACACTGCTTGTATGTTAGCATATTAGCCAGTAATTTCATTAGCTTCATATCTCTCTTAGCTTGGCTATGAATTACTTACAGGAAAACTGTGATTCCCTTTATGTCTCTGCATGTTTCACTCTCCTATAGCATTCAAAGATTCAGCCTGCTTCTTGTGCCCTTAAATTATGTTTTTGCATTCCTACTTCTCACAGAAAATCACTCTCAATTTTTAACAATTAGATTTCTTTTTTCCCCACACTCCTCTCTTTTCTACCCTCCTTCCTACATTATTTCCTTCCCTGATTGAAACAAAATTAATTAGATTTCTGCAAGTCTCCAACAATCAAAAAATCAGTACCATTTTAATTCAGGATTATTATTGTATTTAAATTATGATTATGAGGTCCATATAGGCAAGCACATCCCAACATATAAAACTGAGATACCTTCGTGGTGGTAAACGCATGCCATGCATCCTTCACTTAGTCCCATCCATTAAAGAAGCACACATAAATCTGTTATGATGATCAGTTCCAAGTCAATGAGATTAGGTTATATTTGAAGTTAAAGCTTTCTTTGCTTATATGCATTGTGTCATGCAGAAAGCTTATTATTCATATTGCTTCACTGACACTAAAATGACACTGGAAAGATAATGAAGCAGGGTAATTGATCTCTCTTTAATCAGTTCTTAGCCCTTCAATTTCATACATGCATATGAGTGCAGCATATACAAACACATCACCTCTAAAAAAAAACTATTTACTGGCAAAAAAAAATTAATAGTCTGTCATTATTTCACGCCTTTAAACTACTTCACTAACTCTTATACAATACAACCTGCAATCATCAGCTACTTTTTCCGGAGGAACCTAAGCAGGCTTGAGCAGTGGGCCCAAGACAATCTCATGAAGTTCAACAAACCCAAATGGAAGGTACTGCACCTGGGTGGAGGCAAACCCCACTACCAATACAAGCTGAGGGATGAAAGGATTGAGCACAGCCCTGCTAAAATAGACTTGGGGGTACAGTGGATGGGCACCTGGACATGAGCCAGCAATGCGGCCTCACAGCTCAGAAAGCCAACTGTAATCTGGGCTGCATCAAAACAAGTGTGGCCAGCAGGGCAAGAGAGGCGATCCTGCCCCTCTATGCTGGTGGGACTTCACCTGGAGTACTGCATCCAAATGTGGAGTTCTCAGAACAGAGAGACGTGGACCTGTTGGAGTGTGTCCAGAGGAGAGCAACAAAGATGATCTACAGAACAGATCTACAGAGGATGATCTACCTCTCCTATAAGGACAGGCTGACAGAGCTGGGGCTGTTCAGTATGGCCACTGTCTTTCAGTTTCTAAAGGGGAGCCACAGGAAAGAAAGGGACAGACTCTTTCATAGGATCTGTGGCAACAGAACAAGAAAAAATGGCTTCAAGCTTAAAGAGGGTAGATTTAGGTTGGATATAAGGAAAAAGTCTTTAACAGTGAAAGCAGTGAGGCCCTGGAACAGGATGCCTAGAGATGTGATTGATGCCCAGTTCCTGGAGGCTCTCAAAAGAAACACTGGATCAGGCCCTGGGCAATCTGATCTAGCTGCAGGGAGTTGGACTAGATGACTTTTAAAGGTCCTTTCCAACTCAAAGGACTCTACGATTTTAGCTTAGAACAGAGATTAATATACTTTTCTCAGCTCTTCACTGTACTCTAATACTGTTATTTCAGTTTTGAGGAGCTTCTTGGGAAGACAGAGAAAGAACAGTTGATTCATTCTTTAGTTCTGTTTCCAGTACGAGGGAATTGCTTTTAAAACTGAGTAACTTCAGCAGCCACTTATAAATTTCTGTTTTCTAATTACTAATATTCTTTACTTCAGCAGAAAGAACAGAACTTTTTAGAAGTTTATGTTATTCACTCAACTGCACTGTACCAAGTCAAGCATTTCTGAACCTAAGGACTCCTAAACCTAGTCAAGCATTAACTACAACAAAATCTTTTGCAAAAAGCAGTTGTTGGTATTGTTAACCAATAAATGAGCTGACTCTCTACTTCAACAGCTCTTACACTCATTTCCATGAGGTTTTTGCAGAGAATAGTAAGGTAGGAAAAACACCAGATAAACCATGGTGCTTTACTGCCCTTCACAGGGACACAGACAGATGCAGGCTGACAGAAACCATGCTCATCAAGCTTAATAATGGAACATGCAGAGTTCCACATTCAGTGAGGGTCCCTGGTTGAAGTGGCAGAAGAGACTTTTTGAAGTCCTGCTGGACACCAAGTCAACATGAATGGAAGAATCAATAAAGTTGTAAAAGAGCTTAGCCATCAATCCATCATTGCTACACCACTAAACCATGTCACCTAATGAGATATCTACCTTTTCTTGAATACCTCCAGGAACAATGACTTCACACCTTCCCAGGCAGCCTGTTCCAATGCATTACTGATCTTCACAAGCAGAAATGTTTCCTAATAACCAATTTGAACTTCCCTTAGTGCAACTTAAAGCCACTACTTCTATTTAGTCCTACCACTGTTACCAGGGAAAACCAGATGGACTCCCATCTCACCACAATCTCCTTTCAGACAGTTGTAATGAGAGAATAATGTCTCCCCTGAGCCTCCTCCAAACTAAACAATCCCACTTCCCTCAGCTGTTACTCATAAAGCTTGTGCTCCAGACCCCTCACCAGCTTCACTGCCCTCCTTTTGGATATGCTCCTCCAGAGCCTTGATGTCTTCCTTGCAGTGAGGGGCCAAAAACTGAACACAGTACTCCAGACACAGCCTCATCAGCATCAAGTACAGAGGGACAATCACCTCCCTGGTCCTGCTGGCTAAACTATTTCCAACATAAGCCAGGAAATCACTGACCTTCTTGGTCATCTAGGCACACTGCTGGTTTATGTTCAGATGGCTGCCAACTAACACCTCAGGATCCTCTTCCTTCACACAGTTTTCCAGCCACTCTGCACAAGCCTGTAGTAATATATGGGAGTTTTGGCAATTGAAGTGCAAGACTCAATATGTGGTCTTTTTACCAGCAAGAACCAGCAGTGTGCCCCTGTTAATATGGAAGGTGAATGATATCCTGGGCTGTTAGACCTAAGTACTGCAGGCACACTGAAAGTAGTACTTCCCTTCTACTCAGCATTGGTGAAGTCACACCTAAGTACTGTGCCCATAGCTGGACCACCAGTGGACATAAACATACGGGAAAGAGTCTTGCCAAGGGCCACCAAGATGAAAAGACAGAAGCAGCTCTCCTGTGGGGGAAGGCTTAGAGAGCTGGAACTGTTCCACTTGGAAAAGGAAAGGTTCAGGGAGTGCAAGGGGTCTTTATGAGCATATTCACTCAACAGGAAGGAGTGATGAAGACTGACATTTTTCAGCAGTGTACAGTGACTGGACTAACAGCAACAGCACAAATTAAAAAACAGGAAACTCCATGTGAACAAAAGAAAACACTTTTTTTCCCCTCGTGAGAGCAAACACTGGAAGAGGTTGTTCAGTAAGATTGTGAAGCCTCCATCTTCGGAGACAGAGGCCAACTGAACAGACTGACGATCAACATCCTCTAGCCAACCTTCCTTGAGCAGCTGGGTGGACTAGACTTTCTCAAGAGGTCACTTTCAACTTCAGAAGGCATGATTCCACAATCCAATTCCTGTAAAGATGGCAGAGCCAGATTCGCAGCATCCAATGGCAGCGTAAGTGGCAATAGGCACAAATCAATTATAAAATATATAAAATGAAGGCCTTCATATTCAGTTACATTCTAACACACTATGTAATTCTTTCAAGGACTTTGTGGAATACAAGTGCCCTAGATACTTTCTCTCACACACAAAATTCAGCTACATCCTGTCAAATTGTTAAAATAATAAAATAGCATGACATAAAATTCAGAATAAAAAAGGCCTTCAGAGCTGTTATTGGTGGTGGTTTTTTGTTCCTTTTGGGGTTGTTGTTTGTGGGTTTTTTTTGCAAGCAAGTACATGTCTAAAGAATCATTATAACATGAAGTCCATACTGCAGTTCTATTATTACAACCTTAACTATTCCACTTAAAGTGTATGCAGAATTAGCTATTCTGTGATACTACTCAGAGTTGTACAGTCTAAGAAATAAAGCTCTTCTATGGAGAGAATAAGGAATAA